AGACTTTAAAATATAACAACTTCTAATTTAATTGAACTTAAAGCCATTTTCACATAAACCCATTATAATAAATGTCAGATTTAGTTATGTGCAAGTAGGAAATATACAGAAACAGAATAAAGTTATCAAACACTAGATTCTAAATTAAATGTAGATGAATCCTTAAAGCTACAGAAGTGATTGATTTCCTCTCTTTTCTTTAGTTCTTTGAGCAGCATCACAGCAGCTGGTTATCAGGTTATTTTGGCTGCTGAACGTGACGCGGATCTGACACGCTTCGTAGTTTCTCATAACTCTTTACCTTTTCTGACCCACTGCAGCTCTTAAAGTCTCTGTAACGAGCTGAGGAGCTGAATCAGGTGTTAGATGATGGAGACAGTGCTGCTGCTCCACGACAGAACAATTAATGTTCTTAAATATGACTCGTATAACAAATACTTACATGCACAGTTTTAAAGCAGCTTTAATCGTCTTTTTGGTAACTTCATGACTTAACTGACGACATAACTACAACATTACATGATCGTAGTTTCTTTGGCGCTTTAATATGCAATGATAAACAGCTCGCTTCTCCGCATTTGTGCGTGCAGTTGAACGAGCATTTGCTACGATGACAGTATACCGGCTGACAGGACAGGAAAACTGTTTTTTGTTAACGCACTAATTTTGACAGCACTAATAATTACCGTTTTACTTTAAAGAATGTTATTAAATTAAATTAAAATAATTAGAAAACGGTAGGAGGGAATCTTAATTATGGAAATAATATCATAATATAAGAAATCTTTACAGTTCTAAAAATAGCCTTTATTTTCTTTCTGAACTTTTCTTGACAGACTCTCTTTTTATCGTCTCTTTTATATTCACCCATTTTTTCCCCTCTCTTTGATGAGTGTACGTTATATTCCTGTCATCTGACGTGTGTGTTTTCTCTCTCTGTAGGAGGAGATGGACACTCGTCCCAAAGTGTCGTCTCTGCTCAATCGTCTGGCGAACTACACAAACCTCATGCAGGGAGCTAAAGAGCACGAGGAGGCCGAGAGCATTGGCGAGAAGCGCAAGTGCAGCAAGGTGAAACACACACACATACGTTATAAACAGGCTCCAGACGCAGTAAAACGCTGCTTTCTCACGCTAAATCCCAGCTTTGTGTCAGATCATGTTGATTCAGTGAGTGTTTTTCCCATGATTCCCTGTGTTTGGCGTCAGTCTCCTCAGATGGGCACCTTCATGCAGAAACAGAATAAAGTTATCAAACACTAGATTCTAAATTAAATGTAGATGAATCCTTAAAGCTACAGAAGTGATTGATTTCCTCTCTTTTCTTTAGTTCTTTGAGCAGCATCACAGCAGCTGGTTATCAGGTTATTTTGGCTGCTGAACGTGACGCGGATCTGACACGCTTCGTAGTTTCTCATAACTCTTTACCTTTTCTGACCCACTGCAGCTCTTAAAGTCTCTGTAACGAGCTGAGGAGCTGAATCAGGTGTTAGATGAGGGAGACAGTGCTGCTGCTCCACGACAGAACAATTAATGTTCTTAAATATGACTCGTATAACAAATACTTACATGCACAGTTTTAAAGCAGCTTTAATCGTCTTTTTGGTAACTTCATGACTTAACTGACGACATAACTACAACATTACATGATCGTAGTTTCTTTGGCGCTTTAATATGCAATGATAAACAGCTCGCTTCTCCGCATTTGTGCGTGCAGTTGAACGAGCATTTGCTACGATGACAGTATACCGGCTGACAGGACAGGAAAACTGTTTTTTGTTAACGCACTAATTTTGACAGCACTAATAATTACCGTTTTACTTTAAAGAATGTTATTAAATTAAATTAAAATAATTAGAAAACGGTAGGAGGGAATCTTAATTATGGAAATAATATCATAATATAAGAAATCTTTACAGTTCTAAAAATAGCCTTTATTTTCTCCATTTTTTTTTCAATTGATTTTGAACCTGAACTTTTCTTGACAAACTCTCTTTTTATCGTCTCTTTTATATTCACCCATTTTTTCCCCTCTCTTTGATGAGTGTACGTTATATTCCTGTCATCTGACGTGTGTGTTTTCTCTCTCTGTAGGAGGAGATGGACACTCGTCCCAAAGTGTCGTCTCTGCTCAATCGTCTGGCGAACTACACAAACCTCATGCAGGGAGCTAAAGAGCACGAGGAGGCCGAGAGCATTGGCGAGAAGCGCAAGTGCAGCAAGGTGAAACACACACACATACGTTATAAACAGGCTCCAGACGCAGTAAAACGCTGCTTTCTCACGCTAAATCCCAGCTTTGTGTCAGATCATGTTGATTCAGTGAGTGTTTTTCCCATGATTCCCTGTGTTTGGCGTCAGTCTCCTCAGATGGGCACCTTCATGGGCGTGTATCTGCCGTGCCTGCAGAACATCTTCGGCGTGATTCTCTTCCTCAGACTGACGTGGGTCGTCGGTACGGCCGGAGTCCTGCAGGCGCTGTGTATCGTCTTCATCTGCTGCTGCTGCGTGAGTCTCACACACACACACAGATATACACACACAGATACACACACACACACACACACAGATATACACACACACACACACACACACACAGACACAGATACACACACACACACACAGACACAGATATACACACACACACACACACACACACAGACACAGATATACACACACACACAGATACACACACACACACACACACACAGACACAGGTATACACACACACACATACACACACACACACATACACACACACAGACATATATACACACACAGATACACACACACACACATTGAATAAATTTAATTAATTTTAATATATTTTTAATATATTTTACATGTATATGTATATGTATAAACAAATATGTGACCCAGGACCACAAAACCAGTCATAAGGGTAAATTTTTTGAAATTGAGATGTATACATCATCTGAAAGCTGAATAAATAAGCTTTCCATTGCTGTATGGTTTGTTAGGATCGGACAATATTTGGCCTTTGAAAATCGCCTTTAAATTTGTCCAAATGAAGTTCTTAGCAATGCATATTACTAATCAAAAATTAAGTTTGAATATATTTACAGTAGAAAATTTACAAAATATCTTCATGGAACATGATCTTTACTTAATATCCTAATGATTTTTGGCATAAAAGAGAAATGTATAATTTTGACCCATACAATGTATTGTTAGCTATTGCTACAAATATACCCCAGCGACTCAACACTGCTTTCGTGCTCCAGAGTCACATATAGAAACCGCATAAGTGTTGTTATATTTAGCATCGAGTCTCTCTCTATTCAGACGCTGCTGACTGCGATATCAATGAGTGCCATCGCTACTAATGGAGTCGTGCCAGGTGAACTTTCTCTTCTGTTTAACTAGAAAAGAGCATTAATGAGTTCAGAAAGTGTGTCGAGAGGCGATAGCGACGCTTTACAGCTCTGAGCTCTGATAAACAGCTGATTTACTGTGTGTGATGTAACAGTGTGCGTGTTAATGTGATCGTTTAGAGCCTAGTTCACATAATCATGTGGACTTGAACTCTGATCAAAATTAGAGAACACTTTCAGATTTTATATTTAGCATCGAGTCTCTCTCTATTCAGACGCTGCTGACTGCGATATCAATGAGTGCCATCGCTACTAATGGAGTCGTGCCAGGTGAACTTTCTCTTCTGTTTAACTAGAAAAGAGCATTAATGCGTTCAGAAAGTGTGTCGAGAGGCGATAGCGACGCTTTACAGCGCTGAGCTCTGATAAACAGCTGATTTACTGTGTGTGATGTAACAGTGTGCGTGTTAATGTGATCGTTTAGAGCCTAGTTCACATAATCATGTGGACTTGAACTCTGATCAAAATTAGAGAACACTTTCAGATTCCTCCCAGTTATTGGTGTTAATCTGGTACCTGGTGCTAATTTCCTTAATTACTTGACAAACCCTATTTAACTGGCAGCATTCTTCTAATTATCACTGAGATTGTAAAATTCTTAAATGTGACGTGACATGTGGCCAAATATGGTGACCCATACTCAGAATTAGTGCTCTGCATTTATCCCATCCAAAGTGCACACACACACAGCAGTGAACACACACACACAGCAGTGGGCAGCCATTTTTATGCTGCGGCGCCCAGGGAGCAGTTGGGGGATCGGTGCCCCACCTACAATCCCTGCCGGTACAAGACTCGAACCCGTCACCTTTGGGTTGTGAGTCCGACTCTCTAACCATTAGGCCACGACTTCCCCTTGGTGAGCTGCTCTAAGGTGAGACAGGAGGTTGTCCAGATGAAGGCCAAAGGGACGACCCTTTCAGCCACTGCACGCGAAGCTGCTCTTTCCAAATCTGTGATTTCTCAAATATTGCAGCTTTACAGTGACACTAATTCATTCAAGTCCCTCAAAAAGGCTGGTCGTCCACATAAGACAAATGCAGAGAGGACAGGATAATGCGGAGACTCTCAATGGAGAATCGGTTCAGCACTGCAGCTGGAATTGCTTGTCAGGTCAGCACTGAACAGTATAAGGATCTGTCTCGGCAGGTTTAAGAGAAGTCAGACTGAAAGCAAACTCTGCAGTGACCAAACCTCTCATCAGCAGAAAGAATCAAAAGGCTAGATTCACCTTTGCTGAGGAGCATGTTGTGTGGAGAGAGGAGAACTGGTCTAAAGTTCACTTTAGTGAGAAACAGCAACATGCGGTTCCTTCCCTGCAATCATCTCCCAATCAGCCTGCAGTTTTCATGCAGGACAAAGCTCCCGTCATACTGCAAAACGGGTAAAGCAGCTCCTTAAAGCTGAAAACACTGAAATAATGAAATGGCCGGCTCAGAGTCCTGATCTAAACCCGACTGAAAATCTCTGGGAAATCCTTGGCAACAAAGTTCTGGCTAAGAAACCCACTACAGTCACCGAACTATAGAGGAGACTGAAGAAGAGTGGACCGAGATCACAGCAGCGCAGTCTGAGAAACTAGTGAAGTCCTGCGGCCGCAGATGTGCTGAAGTCACTCAAAGCAGGGCCCTCTACACTTCCTACTCATTTGTGACAGATGTAACCCTCCAAAACTTCAGTTGTAATCTTCTTTCATGCTACAGTGGTTACTGTTCTCTAATTCTGATCACTGTTTTCCACAAAATGAAGGGTTTCTTTAATTGAAATGCCTTGGATATGTTGTCAGATATGTTAGTAGAACAGTGGTAAACCTACAGCTAATATTCCATATTAACAATATATCAGAAAAATCAAGAATTATTAAATAAAGTAGGCACAGCTGGTGCATCTGAGTGAATGAATGTCTCAAATATTTCCCTCACCTGAACACGTCTGGGGGAGTAGGAAAGTTATGGCAAAGCATTTTGTTTTAGTAGCAGCAAGTTTATTTGATACATATAAAAATAAACTTGCCTAATATATAAAATTATTTATTTATAATATATATATATATATATATATATATATATATATATATATCTGATGTTGTCTCCAGGGATTAAAGTTCCGTCGCTACGACGGATTTCCGTCAGTTCATAAAGAGAGTCACGTGCTTCATTCCTGAATGATTCAGCCGTTCGA